CAAATCCAGTTTCTGTTTGGGATTTGTGTGGATTAACTAGCAGATTTCTCCAGTGTGATAACGTCCTGAGTTTCTTTTTAATCATGAGACATACTGTAATAATAAAAAAAATGCCTCTCTTTTCTCCCCCTTTTTCTTTATGGGCTCTTACAGATCAGTCAAAAGAAATGTGAGTGCTCACAGTATTGTTTTGTCAAGTATTGTCAGTGGGCTCTTCTTTGTTATATTTGGGAGATTGTTTGTTGCTGGATATAGCAATTTTTTGGATCTTCATATAAGGTTCTTTAAACTGGGGGCACGTTGCTAAGTTGGGATATGCTCTTTTTTATTGTTATTATTTTTACTAAGAGTCAGAGTGCAGTAGTGAAGTTAAGCAGTAGTTAAGCAGTATATAATTGCAAAAGTGATATTTCAGTATTTAACTGATGCACTGTGATGCTATAACTTTGGGGGAAAACCCCTAAAAGCTGGGAGAAAAAGATGAAAGAATTATCTTTATCTTTACCTTTCTTATCACCCAGGTTGGAACTATCCAGCATGCAAAAGAAAAAAGGAACAAAATACATCATTGGGACAGTAACCAAAAAGCCTGGCATAAGCCTTAATAGAAGATGTTCACATACCGCTTACGTATGTTTTGATCTGCTGTGACCTGAGGAAGGGGGACGATCAAAGAGTAGGAATAAAAAGTTGCAAGCTCTTGCTGGATAATAGTCCAGGATTTATTTATTTTTTAAGTCATATGGAGCGATATGGCTACTGGGACTTCCAGCAACATTTGCCCTATCTTTTTTCTCTTTTTTTAAAAAAATAGAACTTTAATGCACCAATGCAAGAGTGAAATAGCACACTTGCATTACAGAACTATAAAAGTAAAAACATTTTTAAAAAAAATCAGATAAGAGAAATTTTGTTCTTCAAACTAATTTCAAGACCACATCAGCAAACTATACCCCAGTTTAAAAAAAAAAAAAAGTCTAGAAGAGCCCTAGTACAAATCCAAGAAATCACTACAAACAATCTCAAAAAAGAATGGAACACATTAACACAGAGGCAACAACAACCAGCAAGACCTGGCAAAACCCAAAGAGCTATACTGTGAGAAATAGGGCTCATCTACATTGGCCAGAATAGTCTGCACTGCTCCTGGAGTATTCTGGTCC